ATAATATATAGTAATTTATTAATTAATGCATAGTATATATAATTGTATAAATATAAAATACTAAATATTTATTTGAAATGTGTAGCATGTTGTTAAATATACATTGCAACATAGAATATCTCGTTTTTACAGAAACAATATGAATCTTATCTTCATCGTATTCATACGATTCCTCTTTCATCGACAAGTAATATTAATGACGACAATATAACAAATCAAACTAAAAATAAATATTTAAAAAAGGATATCACTACGAAACAAATTTCTCCTGAAATAGAAAATGTATTATCACCTAAATTATTGCGATTGAATTCTCAAAAGAATCGATCGATTTCTCCATCATCTGCGTCAGAAGGTTTAATAAAATCGGTTCAAAACACGTCTTGTGATTATTATCAACGAAATATTACACAATCAAATTTAAATCAACAAAGAAACGATCAAAATATTTTCCAATCGTATCCGATAATTTTACAAAACAATGAATTGGTTCAACAATTACCAACCCAAAATTTATTGCCACGAAAGCAATCTTATATACAAATTGATTCAAATTTACACGTTCCATATGTATCATCAAATCGATCGAGTTCATTAAATCAACAAACTCTTTCGCATTATAATTTTAATAAACCTTTATCAAAACAAATGGAAATAGCCCATACTATTACGCATTTTGTAAATCCGGAACATACTATCAATGATATATCACAATGTAAATCTTTGGATATAACTAAAAATCAATATATTCCAATAAATTTACAAGACATTCATTCATCATCAGTTGTACAATCTTCTCAACAAGAAAATAATAAAATATTGTTAAATAATATACAAATGCAAACAAAAGATATCGATGAACTATCTCCAGTTCACAGAACTATATCAACATCTGTAAAACAAAATGATACATCTTCATTAAACAAATCTCTGACGTTATCGAGACAAGTTTCTCCAAATTACTTTGATTATTCGTGGAAAAAATCTAATTATTTTAAACCAAAACATAAATTTGTTAGTGATATTCCTGTGCATTCATTAAAGACTTTCGACGTTGATAATATGATAAAACGTCACAAACATTTTACCCCAAAAATCTCAATTAATACAAGATTGTCGACAAATGCGAAACAATCCGCTATAGAAGACAAACGTAGAACAACGATGATTGTAGAAAATGAATTAGACAGTTACATTGATAAAATTCGGAAACTTCATTATGATCTTGATACGCAGAGTTTGGAAGAACTTGATCAAGAACAAAATATAACTGATAACATACTTAATATTTCTTCATTAAATGATAATTTAGGGGATTTTGTTGAACATCAATCGAAAGAAAAAATATCTAAAGAAGTTGAAAAGGTTTTGTCATTAGCGGATGATCTCGCATCTAGAACAATGGATTTAAATGTTACTAGTTCTGAAAAAGAATGTATAAATAAAAATAGAAATGTTGAATTGGTTGAAACCATGCAAAACCATATTCCGATTTTCGAAAGAAACTACGTCGCGAAAGACGAAATTAGCAGCGATATTAAGTTACATAAACCAAAATTAGATCTACATCAAAATATTGAAAATTGTAGGAAAGAGAATATTAATAGTGTAGATAACATTCCAAGACAATCTCAACAGCAATTAATTAAAATGAAAAGCGATGAGCACAATGATTCCGATATTTTATTAGACGATAAAATTATGGAGCAAGATAATAAGAATGTTACTTTAAAAAATATACAGAAAGAAAATTATAATGAGAAAGATAATATTTATATCGCAATAGAATCAAATCTTAATCAAGATTCATTTGATACTGTCGAAGATTTAGAACCATGGAATGTGGATCTTTTACAGAAATGGGTAAAGGAAATAGATTTAACTCAAGAAGCTGAAAATCATTTAGATAAGGAAGGATTTGTTATTGATAATTTTAAATTAAAGGATAATGTAGAGCAAATTAGATCTTTAAATTTAGAGAAAAATACTATAGAGAATCGAAAAGATGAAAAAAATTGTAGAGAAGATGTGAATGAAAAATATATAGATACAGATAGCACGAAAAATGAATTAAAAGAAGAAAGTCTTGAACCAAAAGAAGGATTCGTAAACGAAAATGAAGTAGAAATAAATGAACATATTTCGCAACATCAAGAAATAGAATATAAAAATAAAAAATATACAAAAAATGAAAATATTATTCAAAATATAGAATCAACGAAAAATCAAATCGATGATGAGAATAAAATTGACAATGAGCAAATACAAGAATGTGATGAAATTAATTTTGTATCTGATAACGTATCTGAAAATAACAGACAAGAGGTAATAATACAAAATGATGAATATGGCAGTCAAAATTATTTCGAAGAGTCTAATCAAACACAAAATTATATGCAAAATTATGAAACAGAATATACTGATTTAAATAAAGATTATGTTATGTATGAAAAACAAAATTATGATCAAAATGCATTATATGAAAATAATCAAAATCAAAATTATGATCAAAATATGTATGAAGCTAATCAGAAACAAAATTATGATTCAAACATTTCATATGAAATTAATCAAGATGAAAATTACAATGCAAATGCATTATATGATACTAATCAAAATCAAAATTATGATCCAAATACATCATATGAAACTAATCAAGAACATAATTATAAAGAAAACACAATGTATGAAAATAATGAAAATCAAGAATATCAAGAATATATTAATCAAGAATATATGCAAGGATCGAGCGAACAATACGAAGAATATATAGACGAACAATATGATTCTGAAAATCAGTATGAACATGATCCTAACATACAATACCAGGAAGATACGAATCAACAATATGAATATGCTTATGACCAACAATATGATTCGAATCAAATAAGCGATATCCATATAAATCAATCTTTTCCATATACTGATTATGATCCTAATCAGATACAACAAGAAGAAAATAAAGAAACTCAAGAATGCAAAGAATTACAAGAATTAAAACATAAAAAAATAGAAGAAAAACTTGACACGAAAGTTGAGAATAAAAATGAAAAATTATCTTCTGAAAATGAAGAGAAAAAAACGAAAGATGTAATTAAATCTTTGTTAGATTCTGATACAGATAGCACAATCGAAAGAAATATATCAAATACAGAAAGTGATTTCGATTTTAATTAAAATGCAAAAAAATCTGTTACAAAAACATATTGTATAAAATATATTTGACTCTCCATGTGAAATTTTTTTTAAAACATATAATATATGCTTATATTATATTTAATATATTATTTAATATTATATTTAATAATGCAATTTAACTTAATAAAGTTACGTATGTTAATAAAAAAAAATTCACAATATTATATAATATTTCCATTATTATTTTTTCCTATTTTGTTCGATTCATATTATTATTTTTTTTTTAAATAATATATCGAATAGTAGATATTTTTCGAATTTTTATTTCTATTATATAGTTTTAATATAATATAATATATATAATACAATATAATATAATATAATATAATATAATATATATACATATTATGTACAAATTTCAAGATTTAATAGATATAGAGTTAATAAATATTAAAATTTATTTTTTTTTTTGATTAAATATTTATTATAAATTTCATAAAATATTATATCTTTTAATATTTTCCAAGAATATTAATTTGTTGTGTCATGCGATATGGATTTTCACAAGATCGACAGTTGTGAGTCTGCGCCAATTGTGTGACGTGCTTCATATCGCTATGGCGCCACTCGACTAATCGTGCCCATTGCCGTAGTCTTCTTCATTTGTACTACCTTTAAGATTTCAGGTGAAAAATTTTGTTTTTTTAAATATTTCAATGATTTCTATTAACGCTTACAATAAGTTTAATATTTTATAATATAATATTATTTAAAATCTATCAACTATGAATTATTATTCTATTTTCAATTTTTCTATTTATTTAATGAATAAATTTATTAAAACTTACAAGCAACATTATAATATACATTCACAATATTATATGTGAAAATTGTTTTTATACATTTTGTATATTAAGTATTAATAAACAAGCCAGATTTATGTTTATAAATGAGGTTATTTTATTATGATTATTGAAAAATTTAAAGATTTAAGAACAATTTTAAAAAAAATTATTATTCTCAAATGTATTCATTCAGATATTTTTATCGTTTGAATGAGTTCTATTCATCATCTTTCTATCAAGATTATAAGAAGGTTCTTATGATACTAGATACGATCCTATACAACATATCGCGGCTGAAACATGCAGTGACAGTCTCTAGCTAACAGCACGCTCCAGCGTGCCGGAAGTTTTATGTGTGATATTTCCTTTATTATTAAGAATTATATCACTTATGAAGTTCTTCTTTTATGCTTAATAAATTAGTGATATTTATAAAAAAAAATACGTATGTATAATATAAGTGAATCTGTTTTTCATATATACTATTAAATTATAACATCGTGACCTTGTTGTATCTATAAGAAAAGCTACTATAAAAGGCAAATTCTGAATGCTTCATGAATGTAGTTATTTAAATATCAAATATTTAGAAAACAGTGTTCTGTGATTACTTTCATTATTGTGTAATGTATATATACATATGTATATAATTTATGAATATATATTATTTATATTGAGTGATGTTTAAGTGATCTAAAAAAAAGAAAAAACATATAGTGACGTTTCATGCGTAAGATCTGAAAATAACTAAAGTGTAAGAAAATTATATTAATATTATTATACGATTAATACGATTAATATTATGATTATTAATACAATTATCATATTAATATTATGTATCTTTTAATTTAAATAATGATAGATTAATTCAAATTATTTATTTTATTTTATATCATATATAAGATATATCATTTGAATTTTTTTATGTAATTATTTATTAAATTATTTTATTATTTAAAAATATGTTTTAAAGATTTATTCTAAAATTTATTTCATTTTGAATGAATGAATAAATTTTTATCATATTTAAACATAAATTTTATCTAAATAAAGAATTTTAGATTTTAAATTGATTTTCGTTTTTTTTAGATTTGTATTTTCGTTTAACTAGACATGTAACCATTTCGAGAAATCATTAATCTATATATAAAGTAACTTTTAAATTAACTTTCAACTCAATTTAAAGTTATTTCCTACAATTATTTTATTTATTGCATATAAGTTATCATTAATCTATTATCATCATAAACAAAACATTAATTTTATTGTAAATATTAAGATTTCTTTTATTGAATTTTTGAAAAATGTTTCACTTACCACTTAATTAAATAGAAATATAGTTTTAAAATAAAATCATTTTTTTTATATCTTCGATTTTTCTTGAAATGGGATTTTATAAAAAGATTTTATAAATAATCTTTAAAATAATATTAAAAATAATATTAAAATAAGTCTATTAATTTATATATTGATTTAAAAAACAAATTACTTTGAAAAAATTTCAAGAATTTTTTGGTAAATAAAACTTATATCCAGAATTAAATGCTCTTCTTTTGAGAGTAAGTTATATTTAAAATATTTTTTTGAATAATAAATAAAATGATAAATAATTACATACATGAAAAGATTGAAATACAATACTCAATTGTGTCCTCAAATACAATTTATAAAATTTAAATAGGAAGATCAAAGTTTGGAAACTTTGTTTAATTTCAATAAATTCGAATGATTTTATGTTTTATTTTAAATTTTGCTTACAAATGTCAATTATTATGTTTCTCAATGCAAATGTGGATATCAAAAATTTTGAATATATCTTGAGAAGATTACCTCGAATTGTTTTTTTTTTTTAATCTTTCCTAAGTCAAATGAGAATTTCGCAAATAAAAAAATTTCGTGAAGGAATTTTTTATATTGTTCTCATCCGCATTATTTAAAATTTTATCTTTTTTAATATTATTCTTAACATAATTCAATTACATCGTCACAGATATATCATTCGTTTGTTCATCAATCTTGGAATATTTAATATATATTTTAATTATTATTTTTATTTATATATTTTTTATTATATTTAACATTAATTAGAAAATATTTATTATAATTCAACATCTCTTATTCTTAGATTTTATAAATGAAAAATATAAATGTGTTTTATTTATAAATAATATAATAATTTTTTGTCTGTTATTGATTTTTTTATTACATATTTATTTTTTTATTTTATTTTATTTTTATTTTATTATTTAAATTTTGAACTTGCATTTAAAAAGATTTTAATAAAAACAAATTCTATATATATTTTGGATATAATTTTATATATAATTACTATATATTAATTGTTTTATAAAAAAAAAAATAAACACATTATATATTTTTCTTGAACAATTACAAGTTCACAAATATAATTCAGTTTTAATAAACTTAATTTTTTTTCTAAATATTATTTTAGTCAAATATAAATTCGATTTAAATTAACGCAAAATTCCATTATTATCATAATATAAAAAATTAACAAGAATTAACAAGAAGCGAATAATGAATAGAAATTGATTAGAAATAACAAAATTTTTTGTTTTGTTTTTTTGTTATTATTTATTATTTATTATTGTTTTTCATTAATTTTTTAATGATTTCATGTAAATAAATGATATATACATTTCTTTTATATATATATATATTATATTGAACATGACATTCATATACAATATAGTATACTTGTAGATAGAACTGAATTAAATTTATATTTATTCATAACATAGTTTTAATGACAATATTGAATTAATTAATGGCAATATTGTGTTTTTCATATACTATAATAGTGATACAATTGAAATATATTAAAATTCAGACGGTTAAATTTAGATGGAAAAAGAAATCAAAATATATCTACATGTTCATAGAAGGATGGAAGATCTGGTAATAAACGGCATGAAGGATGTTAATAGTGGAACCAATAGGATTTATTACGAATTAGATGGTGAAGGTGACGCTGATAGTTCAACAACACCGCATAATGTCGATCATCATCGTGACCGTAAGTTTCATTTTTTGATATTCCATATCAAATATATAATTATAGTAATGAGCAATTTATAATTTATAATTGTAATTTGAGGTAATAGAATTGCAAATTATATATATATAATTTTATATATATTGATCAATTAATTGAATTTATAATTAGAAAATAATATATATATTTTTATAGAAAAATTATATTATAATGACAATTCAAAGATTATACAATTAATTTAATAAATTATTTTTATAAAAGTATAGTGTATATTTATATCAAAAGTTATAATTTTTGCACTTATTCAATTTTATTATTTGTAAACAAAAAAAATTGAAATAGTTATGCTATTAATAGCTATTATTTACATTTTTTTACAGTGAAACATTTTGTATTAGTGATAATATTTTTTTTTAACGCACTTGCCTTATGAGCGTATCATCAAAGCGTAAAACATAACTTAAATATGATACTGTAATTTTAGCTTATCTATAGATAACATTATATGTTTTTGATAACAATGCTGAAGAAAAAAAATAGAGTCATGAAAATAGTTATCATTCATTCGATAGTAAAATTTTTAAGAGGATCGATAATATATTGTATGACATTAACATGGCTTTATTTCACTTCATTCTAATAATAATTTATAATTTTCAATAATAAATAAAATTATTTATTGTTAAGAATAATTTAATTGAAAAATTATTTTTTTTATTATTTTTCAATTATTATAATTATATAGAATTATGTTTTTTATATAAGATTTATTTTTTTTTATATATTGTTTATATTTTTAGGAATTATTTCGCCAATTGATATAAATATTTTTACTTAAGTATACAGATTATATGTTTATTAATTTTGAAAATAAATATGTACATAATTATTCAAACACGTATTATTAGCATGCAAACTGATATTTTATAATGTCTTATTTACATATAAAAATATAAAAACAAAAGTACATAAAAATAATATCAAAGAAGTATAAAAAATAACTTTTGGTTTAATTTGATTAATTTACGGCATAAAACATTATAAAACTACTTTAAAATAGATATAATATTATACACATAAGAAATCATTACGCATGATGGCAGTATATCATCAAATGACGTTTTTGAAATTTGGCATAGAGCCTACATTTTGTTTGCGTTCTTCATTTTGTTTTCGTCCTCTTTCTTGCCTTCACGCACTGAATAGTATTTTTGCCATCGTGCAACCATCTTCTCTCAGTTCATGCATTGTACATTAGTTTGTTCAAGATTTTTAATACGTGAACAAAAATAAAAAGAAATAAGAAGAAGACTAGTGAACTAGTTTTGTGATAATAATAATTCTGTTTTATACGATCGAGAGAACGTCGGTCACTTTTTTGATATTTTTCCATTTTGTAAATACCTATTCGACATAGAGAACCAATGTTTCTAACAATAAACAGTATCATTTTGGTGTATTAGTATTATCGTCTGCGTTCAGTCTATCGTAAAGAAACATATAATTAGATGCACTAAATGTGTATAAAATTACATTAATTACGAGTGACTGTGTGGATTTCATATATAGATAACAAATAACATTGACGAATAATATTTATTTAGTATAGAGTTAAATGGTTAGCACACGTGTGTCATAACATTGGATAAACTAAGTATAGTTAACTTGACGTTGAGGCATAAAATTCAGTTGTTAACTGAACAGTGTAATAAGGAGAAGAATTCATTATTACAAAGAAAAAAGATTGGTGTGTATTCGAAGCAAAAATATTTCTTATGAAAAAATCTAAATATATTTATTATATTTATTACAAATTTTTAGAATATAAATTATTTCAAATTTATATCGTGAGTGAAGTGTTCGGTGTTCGTCTATAAATCGAATCATGTCAAGTAGAGGTGTCACTTCCTTAGAAAACGATTTTTTTCTTTGTCCGAGGATACCAAATTTTTTTATAGATCCTGAGGATGAAGGTAAGAAAGAATTGATTTTTTTGTATTTAAAAATTTATATTTTTAACAAAAAAATATTATCATAACAATTATAAATATATTAAAATTGTTATGATATTATTAATGAATATATTAAGATTTTTATGATACTATTTTTATATTTGTATACTATTATATTATTGTTAAAAAGTACAAAAAATAAATATTCTTTTTCAAAATTTTTTAAAGTTAAAGTTTCTATTGTGTAATGATTAAAAAAAGTTATTCATTTCAATTTTTTTTTAATTTTTTCATTATTATTTTTTTATGCTATATAAATGCAAGGAATAAATAAAAGTTATAATATTGTTCATTATTCATTTTTATATTTATGTTCATTTATATTATGGATTTTTAAATTATAAATAATATCTGTCTGTGAATCTCAAAATTTTAACTTATAAATAATTTAAATGATGATTCATACATCATACTACACTAAAAAAAATAAACAATATAATACAAAATTTTTTGTATCATTTCATTGTTTGTTAATATAATTCGATATCAATTGTAAATTATTTAGTTATATTTTATATTTTCATTTTCTATTAATTTTTAAATTATTTAATGAAATATGTTTTAATTTAAATATTATAAAAATCAAATTTGTAATATATATACATATATTTTTATCTTTGTTTAAATCGGATAATGGTACATATAATACCACCAATCTATCAATTAGGTTAGATATCTTATCAGTAATTTGTATGTATAAGCATTTGCATTTTTTTACGTTCGTGTTATTATCGATGCAATTTAGTATTTCATAATATTCAAATTCAAATAGGAAGTTTTTCTCAAAGAATTCACATTTACGTAATTAAAGTAGTAATATACAAGTAGACAATATAGATTTTATTTAAAGTATTTTTTATTTTTAAAATAAGATAGTCTTCGTAATATTTTGTATTATTCAAAGAATTTGATATATAAAGTATACTTGAATTAATAATTTAATCATGTGAATATAACGATATTATTATTATGTAGTATTTTATTAATCCATATTTTTTAATTTTCAATCAAATAATATTTTTATTATGTGTTTGATTAAATAGTTTGATATAATTTTATTCAATATTGTGGATCTGTTTAAAATAGAAAGAAGAAAATTGGAAGTAATTAGCATTTAAAAGATTCTTTGTAATTTCATACGATGAATTCAATTATGAATAAATTATCACGGAAACTATATTTGAAGAAAAAAGGTGGAAAAATTCTTATTAGCTTTTGTTTAGAATAATATAATATATAATAAATAATTCATTTTATTTAACCATCGAAATATATACTTTATAAATAATTAATAATCGCATAAAAATATATGATATTGAAAACATTTTGAAAAGATTTTTTAAATGTAATATTAATGAAATATATTAATTGAATAGTTGAAGAAAAATATTTTTATAAATTATTTAATTGATTCAGTGCATTTATTAATATTGTTTATTAATACATGAAGAAATTCTAATAGTTAAATTCAGACATTGATCAAGTGCCAAAATCTAATTCATGAAAAGTTATGAATCCGAAATAGAGAATTTTACATATTAGTTATTTATAAAAATATTTGAAGGCTTTTCATGAAACGATTCTATGATTATGTATCATCAATTATTAGTTACTATTAAAAAATATAATTAAGAAAAGTGATATTTGTGTGAATATAGAAAGATTATCTACGATAATTTGATAATGAGTATTACGGATATAACTAAATCGTCCATAAGTAAGAGTAAAGTGAAAATTATACATTGCAAAATTGTACATTGCATAAAAATAGTAATTATTGCATTATTAAATTTAATAATATAAAAATAATTTTGATTTATAAAAAATAATTATATATTATAAATTGAATTATTATGCATTATTATTATTATGTATATAAATTTATTATGTAATTTATTTATTATTTATTATATGTTTCTATAATTTTTGTTATCAGAATTAATTTTTCAAAGTAATATTTTGTACAGATTTATATTGATTAGATAACTTTGGCACATTGATTTTAATTTCTGCCAATGTGTGAAATACTTTTTTGATAGCTTAATTTTCTACTAATTTATAGATAACAAAATATAAGTAATTAGAAGATAGATTATTTGTCATATATTAACTAATAAAATTTATGAAAAAGATGTTTAATATATTGAAATTCAATATCAAATAATCAATTAATTTCAAATAATTATTTATGTATATGCATATGTAGATATATAAGTATTAAATTATATATGCATATGATATTTGAGTTATTCAGATTATTGATGATCACAAGATACATTTAAATCTTTATTAATAATACTTTAAATGCAAATGATTAATTTAATAAAACTTAATACACTTAATTTAATAAAACTTAATATTTGTTTAATATTAATCTTCATAATAGAAATTTATAATAGAATCATATATATATATATATATATAAAATATTTTGATTTTATTTTGACAATTACACTTTATACGAATGCTATGTGTACATTATATATATATATATATATATAGCAATGAGTCAAATAAAAATACATACATCAATTATAATTTTTATACAGATGTACTCATATGTCTATGTAAAAATTTTAATAAATGTTCAAGTTATTTCTACGCATACTATTTTTATGTCATTAGTGATTCATTATCATTCTATATTAATTTTAGCATAACTTCATCTTGAGAGGTTATTTATCATAAAATGAAATATGCATATACGAAAAATACGATTAACTTCAAACATTTGAAGTATGTATGTGAAAATATTAAAGTATTAATAAATAATTTAAATTATATTTATTGAAAAAACAGCTAATTCTATAAAGATCAATATAATGAGTGAAATTTAAATATATATATATATATATATATAATATATTGCTATAAGAGAACGTGCGATAGTTAACGCTTCTTGAGAACTGTTTCACGATCTTGGCGTACGTGCGTTAACGGCGCTACCAGAAAACAGACTTGATGGCAAGTTGTATATATGTATATACACGAGTGTGTAGTTGTACGTACCGATTCTACGATGTCTACCAAGTGCCAACTCTACGCTACAGTCAGTGTATTCGATACTCGCAATCAGTTAACGTGAATAGTGTCTTCTCGAATTAAGAGTGTCTCGTTTTACATCCAGGTCTTTTTCTTTATATAATTTTGCATAAGAGTTTTGTGTCAAATTTTTTTAGAAACAGGAGTGTATATTTGTGATAAATTAAAAGAAAGAAATCGAAAGTAGATTTTCAAAATAGTAAAAGTGTGGTATTTACATATTTGTAAAATTTTTAAGAAATTTTGAACTAATGATCGTTTATGCTATAAATTTTTTGATCTAAATATGCAATCAAAATAAAAATATTAATAACAACATACTTGTCAAAGTCATTTAAAAACTTTCTTTCAGTTAACAATGATTTGTTTTTTTTAAAAATTAATGTTTACATTATTAGTGTTTATATTGTTTATGAAACATTATTGATATTTTTCTAAATTATTATGTTTTTTTTTTTACAAAGATTTTTAATTTAATTTAATTTAATTTTTATGTGATACATGTAAATACTAAAATTATCTAGTGTGTCATATTTTATATATATATATATATAACTATAACTGTGAGAAATATGTAAACACTGAAGTAATTTATTTTTACATATCTAAAAATATAAATATATGCTATAATTCCGTATTTTTGGTATTCGTCAAATCAAATTCTCGATGACTCATGCGAGCAGACATATTTTCTGAAAGTAGTTACTCGCGAATCAATGTAAATACAAAAAAAACTTTATTTATAGATTGAAAGTACAGTACAGTTACATCTACAGTTACCTAAATTAAACAATGCTGCATAAAAAATTACATGACTGTCAATCATCATATTTTTATTAGCATGAGTTTACTATGATTGGATTATGTTCATTTATAAAATTATTAATCTAAACCAGCTGGTAAAATACAAAATAAAATTCATTGTACTTAAGGAATGTAAACAGCCGTTGCCCTTCGTTTTATGATATTCTCTACATTCTGTTCTATTAATACACATTGTGTTTTGTAAACTTATCATAGGTCATAGGTCATGAAATTTATTGAATTATCAATTTTATCAATAAAATATTTAAAATAGAAAATGTTGCTTTAATTTTGATTGTTATTAAAAAGATAAATTGAAATTATATTATTTAATAGTTTTTGGAATAAATTTTGGAATAAATTTGAAAAGAATTTTATATTTAGTTTAAAGTAAAATATGAATTTTATGCAAAATATTTACGCCTTATTAGCTTATAATGTTCTTCTTATAAATAACAAATTTATGAAAAGAAAAATATAAGAAGACAATGTTTTATTATTTTTATTTGAAAATTCGAATAAATATTTTCATTTCATGACGTTTATATAATAAATAATATAATATTTATAATATTTAATAAATTATATAATATTTTATATTAATATTTATTAATATAATATTATTAATAAATATAATAATTAGACTATGAATTTAATCAATAATTTTGATAGCTATTATTTTTGTTATATAGAGATAATTATTAAGATAATTTCAACAATTTACGAATAAATTCAAAATCATTTAAATATAAAAATTAAGTAAATATTTTGGTGATTTTGTGCATTTATCAAATATTAACTTTTTTATTCAACTTCGTCCGGAATTTAATTTCAAATTTTATTTAATAATATTTTTCATTTAAATTAAAATTAACATGATATTTATAAATTAAAAGAAAGAAATTTAAAACAAATCAATTTTATAAATTCAATTATCAATTTTACAAATCAATTATTGAGAATTTTTTTAGAACTTGACTATAAAACATTTCTTTTCTTTTTGTTGGTAATGTATAACTTTGTTAAGTCCTTTGCTCGTAACATTCTAATATATAGCCATGTAAAAAACATTCCAAGTATAAATGTATATATGACATTAATAAAATAATATATATATACATATATATATATATATATATATATATTAGTTTTTATTTTATATTAGTTTATTATCACTTTTTTTATTAAAATTAATATGATATTTATAAGTTAATTATTTTAAAGAACAATTTTTTTTAATTATTTATTTTCACCATATTTTCAATATTCTGTTTTGAGCTCTTCTAAATTGAAAAATTTGTATATAATGTTATTATTTTAAGAAAATTGAGAAAAGAATTAATATAATCAATGAATGAATCAACAAATTAATTTATATTATAGATAAATGGAGATAAATGAAATTACATAGCTTATGGTTAAATATAACATGATTATATAATATATACACGATATACGATGTAAAGTAAAAATAGAATTAACATGACGTTATTTCTTCAAAATACAATTTTTGCAGCAATATTATTCGCATGTGTACAGATTTCCGACATATTTATTAATCAAGGTTACAAATGACGATCAACTTATATGCATGCAAATTTCCAGTATATCGACTCAACAAAGTAGCATAGATGATCGTCGATAATTTTACTGAGTTATTTTTTTCCCTTAGCTGGCGAAGTTGCTAATTGTAATTTGTAATTTTTAATTTTATTTGTAATTATTTAATTCATAACTCAAGAAGAAAAGATATATCGAATTAAAAATAATATTAATAGGCATGATGAGCTGAGATATACATTTCATAATTCCTGAATTTAAAAATTTTGAAGTTATGGACGAACAATTTATAAACTTTCTTTATAACTTTCTTCTTTTGTAAAATAAAATAAAATATACATATATATATAAATGATAATATACATATATAAATAAAATTTTATTGTTTTAAATATTAAAATCATTTTTAATTGCATTTTTAATTGTGAAATTTAATTGCACAAAATTTAAATAAAATATTTCAATTAAATTAAATTCTCTCATGTTGTTGAATTCATCTTGACGAATGCTTCATATAATATATATAAGAAAAATTATAATTAATTAATCAATAATTTAGAAATATTCATATTATTATAATTAGATAAAAATGGAAGATTTTCAAAATAATCATATTAGAATTCTGAAAAATCTTTCTAAACTCACAGAATAATTTGCACAATGGTGCTGGGTAATGAAAATGACTACATGACTGGATATAAACGCAATTCTGTTACGGAATGGTTACAGAAAACTGGACAAGCAAAAAATGATGGTAATTTTTCAAATGCGATATAAATTTTTGTAATTTTTTGTTGTATAAATTTTTTTTTTATTAAGGTGGAATTCATTATGGAATTATGGAATTCAACAATTTCAATAAAAATATTTTATATTTAATATTGATAACAATAAATAATACAAAAAACTTAATTGAAATTTGTAGTTAAAAATTTTGAGCGAGTACATACGATTTCGTTAATGAGATCAAAAATATTTAAGCGTTTAAATTTTGAGTAACTAATTAAATACAAGATATAAAAGTTGATAGAATTAAAAGACTTGTAATTTATCATTGTAGGAAGTGAGAGTCCAGTTTTTGGTCTGGAAGGTGGAACAGGTACAGGTGGTGGGACTTCTTTGAGACTCGCATCGCATGAATTACCTAATGAAATTTCTGCTCCATATGAAGTTCCACAATTTCCAATTGAACAAATTGAGAAAAAACTTCTGATACAAAGACAATTAACCGTCAAGTAAGTACCATTATTTATTTGTATTTTTATTTTTTCAAAAATAGATGAATTATTTATTTAATTCTATTTCCCAATCTTTAAAAATTTATATAAAAATTTAATTGCAGTTACTCTTTTCCTTCTCTTCATAAGTATTTTTTAAATTTAATATTTTAAATGAATCTAAAATATTTCAAATTTGTATGATCAATATTGAATAATATCATTAAATATTTTTTATAAAAAAATAATTATTTATTTTAAAAAAAAGATTAAATGATTTAAATAATTTAATATAAACAAAAAGTTTATGGCAAAACAAATTATTACATTATTGTATAATAATTAATCATTTGTGGAATATTTAAAGATCGATAGTGTTAATTTTTCAATTATTATTCGTTGGAAAGTTTTCTTGTTTCTTGTATTCTTCCATTCCATAGCAATGATAAAGTATCTTCTTAGTTTAAATGAGTAAATTTTATTATTATTGACTTATGTATATCTTCTCAAACAAAAAAAAAATTATAACGAATTATCTTAAGAGTCGTGTAAAATAATGTTTTTCTTTTATCGCTTATAATATTATAAAGATCGATAAATTTTAAAATGATATTCGAGTTCGATTCGAATTTTATTTAAGTATGCAATAATTATATATCTATATCCGTTTTTCTCTTTCACTTTAATTATTTTAAAAATAAATTAATCATTTAAATAATTAATTATATCTTTACACTATATTTTGATTTATTATATCATTTATAATAATAATCAATATAATCAATATAATAGACCAATGTCAAACATAATCGTACATCCTAAGTATAATAAAGTCCCCTTCATATTAAACTATTTGCTTAACACGACGTAGTAGCTAAATTGATTCTTTTGCTCGAATTCAGCCCTAAGTATGTTCATTAGATTTAATTCCATTCATTCCAGATCCATCTTATATAACACCATTTCCATTTGAAAATTATTAATTTTTTATTTTTCTTTGCGAATATTAAATATAATTTAATTTTTTTTAGACAATATTGGCTTTTCTAATAGCTCTCTTAGTAATATCTTCAAGTTGTATCTCTTAAGTATTCTTCAAACTATTTCAATTATTTATTTCTATAGCAACATAGTATTTTAACAATTTTGCACTTATATTTGCAAATTTTGCTTCATTGTAATTTTCTTATTTATCAATTTCTTCGGTCACTCACCGATAAAGATAATATGTCTGAAGAATATTTTTTTATTTCTTGCTCTGTGAATTGAGCAACATAATATTATATAGCAATTTAACGGATGATTAACCTGTAATTAAAAGAGAAATATTTCTTTTCTCTAATATTATGAGGAAGTTTTCTTTGCATTTTCCATAATCTTTATATTTTTCCATTTAAAAAATAAATGTTTAAATGTAAGCTGTATAAATTTTTTATAATATTATTAAATAGAAGACATTGTATTATTTTATTACATGACAAATACTAAATTTTATCCAAAAATAAATTTAGATCAATAAATATTTTTTGATATTTTGATGAAATGAAGAAACATTTCCAGCTGCAAAAATTGTTTAATTAACTTCAATAATAATATAAGTTAATTTATAATAATATAATTTAGATAAATTTAGTAGATAAATTTATTTTATAATTTTAATTGAATCTAATGAATTTTAATAGATTTAATCTATGATACTAAATAATTAAAAAAATAAATATACATATAATATGTTGAACAATATATTTGAAAATTTCTATTTTCTATTTCTAGAAAAAAAATATATATATAAATTTTTTTTATAATATATAATTTTTTATAAATAAATATAAAT